ACAATAGATAAAAATGTCACTTTTAATACACGGTGACCACTTTTATTTATTGAATTGTCTTTTCAAAATAACTATAGTGACCATTGATATAAATGGGCGTGTTTTTTCATATGATGGAGATATAATTAGCTTTTTTACACATCCTTAAATTTTAATGTCTTTTAAATGGAAATAAAATTACCCTTTTAAATATTTCATCATTACATTGTATATGTGGTCATTTCTTTTAATTCCTTGTCTCCTTGATGGTATGATTTTTGATGATTTGATAAATGTTTTTTATATCATAGATACTAAAGAGTATTGGAGAGAAGATGGAGAGGAATGTTAGTGAAGGGTTGCTGGCAGACTATGCCAAGTTCAAGAAGGAAAAGCTGTAAATTTATTAATCGGGCGGGAGAGATTATAAATAGTTCAATACAGGACTAATAAATAAATTAATTAAAATTCTTTTACTCTGTGAAGAAGCCTGATAACTTTCAATGTTTTGGCTAATCCCATAAACAAGGGATTTCGCCTTTCTGCCATTTAAATTACAGTGTTATTACTAATATATTTGTGTAGCATCACAGGAAGCTTCATTTTTAAATTGCATATATTTTCTTGTTTAATATGATGTGCATATTATTATTATTATATAATGCTCATCAGGTACTATATACTACGTATATAATTGGTCAAGTCGGTATTTATTCATTAAATATTTATATATAGTATTCATTTTCAGAGAATACATTACCAAAGTGAGTAGTCAACTTATGCTTATCAAACGCATTATACTTTAATAGACTTATGCTTATGAAACATGCATTTAATGGACTTAATAGCCAATTAATCATTCATAAGTGAGTCAAACATAAGCGAGTCAAACTAGGGATGGACCGGTTCCGATTCGGGCCCGGCCGGGCCTCGGTTCATGAAGGGGAGGCCTGGAACCGGCCCGGGTAACCCCCGGGTCCGGGCCGGGCCGGGCCTCGATTCTATTTTTTTTTTTGGCTTTTCCTAGTTAACCCCCAACCCTCCCCTCACCCCCAAACCAACCCTAACCACCTCAAATGGCCCAAAATACCCAGCCCAACCCAAAAACTTAAAAAAAATTCAAAAAAAAAGAAAATAAGAAATTGGCCCGGCCTGGGCCCGAACCGGCCGGGCCGGTTCACCTTTTGAAGGGCCCGAGCCCGAACCGCCATCCCACTGGGCCGGGTGGCCCGAACCGGGCAACCAACCGGTTCACCGGGCCGGTCCGGGCCCGCACAGTAGCGGGCCGGGCCGGTTCCGAGCCGGTTGGCCCGGCCCGAGTCCACTCCTAAGTCAAACATAAGCTAGTGCAAACGATTGTAAGTAAATACTTCCTCCGTCTCAAAAACAACTTCCCACTTTCTTAAATTGATGTCCCAAAATTAACTTCACACTTCTTCCCATTTTCTTATTTGGCAAATTATCTACATCAAAACAGTGTCAAACAGTGCTAAACAGTGTCCAAACAGTAAAATTTACCCCCCAGTAAATTTATTTCCTTAATATGTGTGGAAAACGAAGTGTGAAGTTGTTTTTGGGACGGAGGGAGTAGATTGTTTAGTAAATAATTGTTCAGTCTTAGCATTTTTGGACGGAAATACTAAAATGAAAACGCTGCAAATAATAGCGTTTGGACTAGTGTTTTTGAAATAGCGTATTTCCTACTAATTGCTACTACCAAACAACTAAATTTGTCAAATTTTTTTTTGTAACTACTGATCGCTAGTCAAATTCCCTGACTGAATCCGCTATTGACAATCCACTAACATAATCGTGTATTTGTTAATTGCTAAATGTCAAACACATCCTAAGACAACTAGCTGAAGGTGAAAGCGGGTGGTACATATTTTCGGGCTGATGTAAAATTTAATTTAGGCTGATGTAAAATTCATATTACAAGACAAGACAAATGGAGTGTCAAATATATGGAGTTTGAACAAACATAGAAATTAAATTTCAAGTGCTTGGAACAATATTTTACTAAATGAGCGCACTTTTGTTCCACATTTCTTTTGTTACCCTTTATTTCTTTTGTTGGTAAATTTGGGGTTCCAACTTCCAAACGGATCCTTTTAGTAAGTTACTACGTTCCAAAAAGATGGATACATTTTGACTTTTCTTGGTCAATGGTGGTAAAGTTTAGACAATGATTTTAGGTATTATATTTGTTTGTAATTTATAAATTTTATACTTTTATGTAAGGTTTTTTAATAAAGAATATGTTCATCTAATTTTCATATTTTAAATAATTTTGTATTAAAAGATATCATAGGTTAAACTTAACCATCGTGACAAAAAAAATCAAAATGTATCAATCTTTTTGGAACTGAGCCTGATAAAAGTGGAAGCAAGGTAGGGCCATAATGCACATTGCATGTTTGTACTTAGAAGTCACTTGTCATTTGTTGTGTCGCTCATTTAATTTAATGTCTTACGTTTGGCAAAATGCTCGCCGTTGTAAGTGGGACTCATGTCCAATTGGTTAGGAAAATATGTAGTACTAGTATTATTTTCACTTTTGATGTTTTCCAATCACATACGGGGCCATTTTAATAACAGAGATTTATTTTGTTATGTAACTTGCGTTAATGAAAAATATAGTCTAATTAATGTACAAAATGTAATTTGTTGAGCCAGGTCCCAATGTATTTTGCGCATCAAAACATATAATTTAGCATATAAAAAGATGTAACTCATGCATCAGAAGATGTAATCACGTACAAGAAGATGCATCATCTTGTGCATAAAAAGATATAACTCGCGTATAACAAGATATATAATTCACGCACATGAAGATTAAATCACAATAAGAGGATGTAAGTCCATCGAGTTAAACAAACTCTATTTTTTAAACAACCTCTAAAAACATACGTAGTATAAAAGCTAGAGATAAAAATATATTATAGAATAAAAGTGTATGAATATATATATATATATATATATATATATATATATATATATATATATATATATATTACAAAAAGTGTGAATATGAAAATAATACGTACAATAATAAAAAATAGTGTACGAATATGAAATGCAATATACAGTACTTGTTTTATTTATATTAACAATTTTTTGTTATGAATTGATAATGAATAAAAAAATAGATTGAGTTGTAATTTAAGTTTAAGATAAGGAAAAGTAAAATTGCAATTACATTTTTAGTACTTTAATATAGAAGGAGAAGAAAAGAAAAATGAAGAAGAAAAAGTCAAGGAAAATGAAAAGTGTTGCACTGCACTACTCGAGGGAGGAAAAAGAAAGTGAAATACTCCCTCAGTTCTCTAATACTTGATTCTCTTTCCATTTTGGGATGTTCTCTAATAATTATCTCTTTTTCCACTTTTGATAAGTTTTTTCAATAAATATACTCATTTACCATCATTCTCTTTCCTACTTTACCTTTACACACAATCCACTACACCTCTTATCCTATCCCTATTAATTCATTCTTAAATCTTGTGCCAAAGGCTATACTCCCATCTAAGAAGTATTAGAGAAAGGAGGGAGTATGTATAATGTATCAGTGGGATCAATTCCACGGTGTTATGGATCTCACGATACAATTGGCTGTCAACAATGGTAAATTTAGAACAATTTATGTGGTCCAAACTTTATTAACAATTTCACAGACCACCATCCTTCATTCAAGTAATTCAACATACAAAGTCATAAACAGAAAGTATTCAATTGACATTTTCAAAAAAGGCTTACATACGATTTTAGTATTTGAAAAACACTGTAGGGAATACTTTTATAAATGAACGAAAACAGAAAGGAAGTCTTAGTTAATACCTCACAATTCACATATAACTCCATACGGAGTAGTATTTATTGTTTTATTCAATATTTTCATTTACGAAATTAAAAGTATACAATTTTTTATGGAATTAAGAAAAGGTTTTGCCCGTGCATTACACGTGTGAATTACCGGTGTACTTACTCACATCAAGTAAGACTCCTAAAAACATTTACTGAGTATAAGACATGAAATCTAGTCTTTTTAGTTTTTTGCAGTTGATTATATATTACTCCCTTCCTAACAAAAAAAATCTTCCCACTTTTCTTTTTCATCTGTAGCGAAAAAATCTTCTCATTCTAAATCTTCCCATCATACTCTCAATAATTTTGAAAATAATACATCATTACAACTACTGTTTTGAATTTATCTTTCATTCCATCACACTATTACACCATCTTCTCATCATACCCTCAAATCGCCTCAATAATTAATTAATATCATCTTTCACTATTCTTAATCTACCTACTTTTGAAATGAGAACATTTTTATGTTATTGAAGGAGTATACAATACTTCTTTTGATCAAATTGGTGCAGCAATGGGGCCAAGGAATATAATGCTAGGAAACCATGGATGGTATTGATATGGCCATCAAAGTTTTCTTGTACAGCCTGGCTTTGTTTTAGAATCCAGATGTCTACAACAAATAACTTGTATTTTTTGGATATTAATAGAGACTGGAGTCTGTCATTCTGATATGTTACAGCCCGGTTGAAAGTTTTTGTGCCAGAGGGAATTTTGCAATTGGAATGAAAGTAAATTGTCCTCTAGGACATATGTCCGGATTTGAAATAGTAAAGCTTTTGAAGAAGTTTGAGGTGGGGTCTGAATTTGTCTTAGGTGTGCTGGGTTGCAAGTCCAAAAGGAGTACAGTTACCAATAAGAAAACTCTGGTCAAATCTAAACAGGGAATCCTCAGCTCATACACTGATGCTACTGATGAACTTAAGTGGGAGTCCTTCCAGGCAGCTGTGATTCGAAGGGTTCAACCAGAGCTGGTTGGCTGGGAAATTGATAGGGACATAGACAGCCTATAATAATAAGAATAATAGAATTATTATAAATAATGTAATAGTGTACAAATAAGGTTGTTGGGCCATTTATGTTATGATTGTGGGCCAGCCCTTGAGGGTAGCCTTATTATAAGAGTGGGAAGTGGGGAAAGAGAGGGGAGGGAGAAATTGGGATTGGACTGGGACTGGGAAGTTGGAGTCTATCTCCTTCTTTGGGACAACTCTGTACGGTTTACCTGCTTCGAATAACATTCAGTTTTCTTTACTTTGTTCTTAATTCTCTGTGATTGATTCTGGAATTGTGTAAGTTCTATCATTGGTATCACAGCCTTACTTCCTGGAGACGGAGAATCTGAAGCATGGAGGAGGATTTCTACATGACACCTCAAATGGAAGAGAGTTTTGTTAATATTGACCGACTAATGAGGGAGTCAAACGCTAGGTTAGCGACGATGATGGCTGAAATGCAAGCGACGATGCAAGCTGGCATCGCAGAATTGCAGAACCGACTTAAAAATTGTTCGCGGAATCGATCGCACAAATCGCATAGGTCACATCGCGACTCTCTTCATCGACGTACGCAACATCCGATTGACTCAGAGGAATCGGAAGAACAGAGTCTTCGCAAAAGACCTGGAGATCGATCGAGGAACTTCAGCCATGAGCCGCTATCACCAACGGATTCACAGATGAAATCGCGAACTTCTCATATTTCGCAGTCACGAACCTCATCTTCCAGTTCGCGATCGCGAACTACTTATTTTGGCTCGCACTCGCGAACTTCCGATCACTATTCACAGAGGCGAACAGTTTCTCTTTACTCGCAGACTGACTCCTCAGATATCAATATGCGTTCAAGAAAGAAGCTAGGGAGTGGAGAATCATCATATTCGTCTCCAAAGGATTCTCACAGTTCACCTTCCTCGTCAAAAGTCAATTCTCGGAAATCTGCTATTTCAAAGAAGGAGGAATTACCTCTATTCTACGAGCATGAAGCATATGAATGGATTGTGACGATGGAAAGATATTTCCAAGTCCAAGCTATTGCAGAAAGATTTAAAGTGGACGTGGCAGCGAAGGCTATGGGGGAAGAAGCAGATGACTGGTTTCATTGGTGGGATTTTCATAAGAGAGAAGATAGTAGGAATGCTCTAAAGGAAGACTTGATTAGGGATTTTCCACCTAAACACCGGCAGAAGACAGGGAGGACAGAAAAACAGGTATCATCAAGGTCACCAACAACTTCTAGTAGTTTGCAAGTTTCTCACCCTGAACATGATATTGCCCAGTCAATAAAGAAGACACAGATGGAACTAACTGAACCTGTAATCATGCAAATGAATATGAAAGATGAAATCAAGGACGTAATTAAGGAGAAGACGGGGTTTGAGGAAATCACAGTGAATGGGTTTGGGGAAAAGAAGCAGACAACTGCTTATACATGGAATCCTCTGCAGAAGACACTGACTAGAAGAATTCATCCAGAATGGTTTCAAAAGTTAATCATACTAATGATTAGCATTAAACTGGTAGGCACTGTTTTGAAGTTCAGAGATGAAGACAGGAAGGAATGGAAGGAAAAAGGAGGTTATACGAGCAAACCTCAGCAGTGGAATGATGAGTATAGTAAGTATAAATATACTTATGAGGCCATAACAGCTGCTGTGCAACTTTCAGCTAGAGACAAGAGTGATAGATATCTTCCAGATACATCCATTGATTTTATTGATAAGGTTGGGTTGATGAAGTCTATCTTGAAGCCTGATTTTAAAGTTGATCAGCTTTCGGTTCTGGATGTGGAAGGCTGCAATGTGGTATTTTCTGCAATTCGGGACTCCTCTGATTCTGTACTGAGATGGACTGATGAGTCTGCTCTTGGTAGCAATATTGAAGGACATGTTCATAAAATACAGGAGTTTGGGGCGGTCATCACTTTTAAGAATCGGGAAACCAATATGTTCTTGAGTATTCTGACCGAAGTTCATCAGGAACCAGTCCCTGAAGCTCATTCTGTTGCTGCAAGAGCTATTGGCTCTCTTATAAGGGAAAGGAAAGAAGAAAACTTCCCAGACTTGGGACTTTGGCGGTTGGAGAATCTGACATCGCATGGCAGTACTGTGGTGCACAACTTAATTTGCATAAGGCTTGTTGTAGACAGTGAATTGAGTAATTTGAGCAACCTCAAATCTGCATCCAACTCACTGATGACTCCAGAAGTAAGAGTCCTTGAGGAGTTTTTTGAAAAAGAGGAATTAATTGTAGCCAGTAAGTGCTTGAAGGCCACTGCAACAAATGAAACTGCACTCGACATATCTTCTGCAGCCGCAACATCTGTGATTTTGGAGGTACAAGTACTGAAGCTTCTGATTCAACAAACTGCGAGATATTGGGAAGGAAGAGGAGCTCGGATGAAGAAGAAGTTGAAGGTCAACAAGGCTGTTTCCTATCACCCACCTTGAGGACAAGGTGATTGTTCAAGGGGGGAGATATGATAGGGACATAGACAGCCTATAATAATAAGAATAATAGAATTATTATAAATAATGTAATAGTGTACAAATAAGGTTGTTGGGCCATTTATGTTACGATTGTGGGCCAGCCCTTGAGGGTAGCCTTATTATAAGAGTGGGAAGTGGGGAAAGAGAGGGGAGGGAGAAATTGGGATTGGACTGGGACTATGAAGTTGGAGTCTATCTCCTTCTTTGGGACAACTCTGTACGGTTTACCTGCTTTGAATAACATTCAGTTTTCTTTACTTTGTTCTTAATTCTCTGTGATTGATTCTGGAATTGCGTAAGTTCTATCAGAAATATCCTTACAATTCACTTCTAAGAACTCTCTGACTGAACCTTATGTTTCACACACTATTCTGGCTACTAATTGCGGTAAATCTGCTATCATCTTAGAAAACAGCACACTGATTCATGATGCTGACAGAGATATCTTTCCTGGTCTCTTCCCGGATGCCATGAATCCATGATCGTTGGTGAAGATGTTAGGGGGCTGCCAACAGTTTGTATACATGTTCAAGAGGGAGCTGTAGGTTTTGACTACCTGTTTCATATGGCTAATGCTGGAAAAGGGATCAAGATACTCAAGAAAAGAGATGAGGATGGGGAAAATGAGGATATAAATATTACTCGGCCTCAACACCCTGACCAGAAACTGGCTACACATACTCAAACAAAGCCAGCATATCAGAACACTGCTTTGGGAAAAGAAAATGACTCGGAAAGCAATGACAAAGAGAAGGAGAGCCACACTTTCTGCTTTTATGCAAATGGGATTCAGAGTGTATTGGATCGTGATGCCGTTATGATTGCTCACAATGACGAGAAACTAAAGCTAGAGAAGCCAGCTTCACAAGCTGCACAGAAAGCAGCAGACGCATTGCGCCCAGCACGAATGCTTCGGAGGCAAGAAAGTGTGGCTGTCCCAACCTGGACTCACAGATTTGAAACTGCAGGGGCACCATTATCTGTCAAAAAGATATTTGGTTCTACCATGAACCCTCTTTTGGTAACTACTAGTTCCAAGTCCTTGCGAGAGTCACCATCCAAAAACAGTAGGCCAAATGGAATTGCTGATTCGGCATCTGCTGGTCGAGCACTTTCACAAAGAATTACTTGTTAAACTGAAATTTCAAATTTTGAAATCATTTGTTTCTACAAATTGAAGTTCCTAAGTCCTAACAGAGAGCAGCTACATGGCTTGCCTGAAGGAGAGGCAAGAAGCGGTTAAGGGGGGAAATGCAAGCAGGATTCGAGCATCTGACTTTCGACCACCAACAAAGGCCAAACAGAACAAATTCAACTATAGGCTCATCAATATCATGCAAATTACAATACAAATTCAACTCTAGGATCACCAATATCATGCCTATATCTAATCTAACAAAAAAAACACTGCTAATCACACAAAACAAAAAATTAAGCATTGAGTGCAACAGGGATTAATAGTTGCACTTGTACTTGCACATATTACCACTTGATAGAAAACCTAAATTTGTGTAGTTGAAGGTCCAAAACAGAATAGGCAAAAACAAATCTTCCTGGAGAAAAACTATGAAGAATAGGGCACAGTCACCACAAATAGGGATCAGCCAAAGAATGAAATTATGTGGAATATTGAACTGGAAAACAAGACAAAATATATCTTCATAGAAGAAGAAAGGAGAGGAAAAAACTTACCTCTAGCACATATAATATTAGCTTGTATCCTTCTCCTTCAATCGATATTATGCGTGCAGGAACAAGGAAGATGACAAAGCTGAAGTAAATCACGACCACGGGGAGGAGCCTTCTTATGCAGCCTAAACCAATTTCTCAATGGCATAAGGTCTATTCGGAGACAGAACTCTGACCCTTTCGATTTATGTGGTCCAGAAAGAGAAAAACCCATGATGCAGCAAACAAAATATGGCACATTCAAACAGAACTCTGACCTTTTCGATTAATGTGGTTCAGCAAAAAAACAAACCCATGATGCAGCAAACAAAATATGGCACATTCAAACAGGAAAGAAAATGGTCAGGAAAAAAAGAGAAGCATATTGGTCACTGAAAAAAGGAAACAAACTGCCATTAACTCCCTTAGGCTTTCTATATATATAAGAATATATTACCCCTCTCAAAATACTCCTTTTATTGAATATGCTGTGTTGTTTTTATGAAGGGAAAAATAGAAAATTAGAACTAAATGCTGCAATGGCTTTGTGCCTATAAATTTAAAAGAAAAAGGTGGAAATTAAAAAGAAAGAAAATACTACATCTTTGTGCCTATAAATTTAAAAGATAAATTGCAGGTTATCTGATGAGCTGAGAAAGCTGGAGAAGTTCATGTTGCATGAGTGGTTTTGTCTCCTGGAGCAAAGGATACTGAAGAAGATATCATGAACTACATAGCACCTTGTGTTGTGCATTATAAGTGCCTAGGAGTTCTACAATTTGTTGATTCCGTACCTAAATAATCTTCAGGAAAATTCATGAGAAGACTTATACCAGATGGTGGAGAATCTTACCAGTGGATCCAATGATGTGCGTTACGACCAATCCTAATATAATAGTCATAAGAATTATCCATAGTTATGACCAAGTACTATTTTTAAGAGCAGTAATAAGATTTTTTACTGTAAAATGTCAGCAGAAATGACAACGTTATTCCTATATCATGCCCACAGACACCTTTCAAGTTAAGCACCCCAAAACACTTTCAAGAGTGCACTGATGTTGAGTCTGGTATAAAAACACTTTAGCACAATTTTCAAGTAGTAAGCGAAATTTTATTGCATCGTTAAAAATAAATAAATAAATGTGTCTAAGACAACAAACAGGATTACACTTTGCCTAGAGAGTACTAGGACTGCATGATCTAGTCCACATAGAATTGTTTTCACGTTTTGTACACAGTTAAAGCCCATAATAACAACAATGACAGAGAGCATACATATGTGATATTTACAAGCAATCATGTTGGAATGAAGGGGTTAAAAGCCATGGTTCATATGAAAAACAGACAGCCATAGCTCACTTCCAATCTAGCATGTCAAGAAGCCATAAAACCTCTTCTTCTGAATTGGCGGCATCACAGAAATCCATTTCAATCCCGAAAACATCAATAACCATGTCACAAACCCCATCTGTACCATGGTCCATGAAGAGCAATGATATCCACGCCCGAATGCCCGATACAAATAAGCTAACAGGAGAGGAGAACTCGAGGTAGTCATATGCTAAAGCCCGGTATGCTGTTCGGTCCACATAATCGAAAACTGATTTGTTAATAATGCAAGCAACTTTGTTCTTATCCTTTCTCCCCACTAGAACAGAAACGCTGATTGTCTGACTCAAAGGAACAGTGAACCTCGGTTCTACAGGAAGGGTCATCTTATATTCAGGCCCTTCCAAATGAAACCTTAGCACATCACAAACGCTGGGTGGTGGAACCCATGCCCCCCTCCGTAGAATGGGTCCCGGCACCACTTCTGAGAATATTATCTTGTCTTCTGCCCAAATATCGATGTAGAATTCCAAGTCTTCGAATGACAACCTAGGAGGGAGGATGACTTTGCGATTTTGGTGCTTGTGACATGTCTGGAATAACTTGCAGTAGGTTACAGTGGGAGGGGAGGGACGTTTGCATAATGATGGCCACTTCTTTGCACATAGACACTTCCAGAGGTAATCTTCTTGTGCAACCTCATGCCACTGTTTGCAAACTAACATACACTTAGCAAGGTCAGTTCCCTCCAAGAACGGGAAGACGGCCTTCAAAATTTCCTCAGAATGCATTTTCCCCCGAATGGAATAACTAAAAATGAAACCTTTGTATTTAGCCCAAATGACTCAATAAGCAAGTATGATGGCAAAATCTGTCAGCTAGCAGGGTTTACCCTGTGAAGTAACACATGCCATCAAACTTGTGAGCAACATAATTGAATTTCACAACAATCAATATACCCAAATGCACAATGAAAAACACAGCGCTTAGACAAACACCATAGAGATATCTTCAGATATCAAACACGACAATAAGAATGTTACATGGAAAGACTAGTGACGCAAAATAAACATATAACTTGAACCTCCGGGAAACATTTAGAACTTCGGGCGCAACTATTTAGGACAACAGATTACTGTTTTCTACGTGACTTCACAATAACAGGGAAACTAAATATTGGTCACTGATAAAAATCCCTAAACTCTCGACAACTATCATAGCCTCTAAATGCTTATATCTTTTGCATGAATAAATAATGTCTTATGTGTAATGCTCCTCCAGGCCGTAAAAAACTAGCCATAAACTAGACATTATGGGAAAATCACAAGGATTTCTTGTCCCGGAATCAGAAGCAAAACCTAAGATTTTTTTTTTTTTTTGCAAGAAACAAAACATGGTAATTGGATGCAAGCAATCACCTAAAACGCATGACCTAGTTACAAGGTTTTGTAACAGATAACATGATGCGTGAATGAAGCAAATTTGAGAGCATCAAACTACAAAGGGTAATAGGGAACTGCAAACCAAAAATTTGTTTGGAAAAACAGGAAGATCCAACAGCAAAAATAGGGAACTGCGATCAAGTTAAAATTGAACAGTTGAACAAATCAAATATTAATCAAACAACATGAAACAGACTAAATTTTTTTCATCGGTAAATAACATGCACTTCGCGATAAACTGGAAAAGAATCGAACTTTTTATTTGTGGCTCTTGAAAGACTTCTTACCAATAAAATAGAAATCGAAGATGAAATAGTTCAATAACGGGGATATGCCTCAAATTACCGTAAACTAAGGTCTGGGGTCGAATGCTTCGACAAACGCTACAAAGCAGAGTCAGATCACCGGTATGTCTTCCGCTCTTTGACCTTTGAGAAGTTCGAGTCCCAGATTGCGATCAAGAGAGATAATTGATCGATCCTGTCTCATTTAAGTTTTGTTAGTGAGAAATTAGATCAAATTGATACTCCTCCTTCCCCTTCTCACTTTCCTTTTTCCTTTTTCTGACGTTCTCATTTTCATTTTAGAAAATAATTAACAATCTTAAGTAACAAATTAATTATTAAATATTATAAAAAAATACATTTATAACATCACAGTTATCAATACTAACTATATTATAATATATACATATTAAAATTATTTCTCAAAATATACTCGAAGTACTTTATTTAATTATTATCTAAATACTCGTAGCGTTTGATATGAGATAATGAGAACCTTCCAACGGAACGGAGGTAGTAATATTTAAATGAGGGGTGCCTATAAAAACGAAGTCCACAATTGTACCAAAT